TACATAGCAAAAAAAATACAAATCCCAGTGGTGAATAAATACCACCAAAATAAAGCTTTATCTATCTCAAAAAAATGGTAAAAAAATGCATTTGGGTACAGTGTTGCATGACCGCGCAATTGTCATTCAAAGTGTGATAGCGCTAAAAGCTGAAAATTGCCCTGGTCAGGAAGGGGGTAAAAGTGTCCGGTCTGGAAGTGGTTAAAGATGTGTAAGGCACTAAGAATAAATATATCAATCATTCTGGATTCATACATTTATAAATACTTCTATGCGTAAGGCCTAAGGGGTTGCCATTTTAAATAATTATAGCCCAAAAGAGAGAGATTTGACAGGACCTAGGGCTGGAAGTCCATCGATGCCCAATTAAAAAAAAAATCTCAAAAGTGACAAATTTTTTAATGTTTTTTTTAATGCTGAACTTTCACTTGACAAAATATGAAACTTGGAAGAAGAAAAAGACTTAATATCAGGTCCTACACCTTGAATATGAATGAGCCTGCAGTGGGCTTGGACCATCGGCTGTCTGTATACTTGCAGCAAATTGTGCCCGTGTGCTGGGTAATGCCTGGCAGAGAGCGGCACCTTCGTTTGAGGGAAGATACGGCGTACGAGCCCATGCCTGGCTGCACACAAGAGACTTGTTTTGTGTAGAAAACAGCATGAAGGTCAGTCCTTACACAAGGTGAGGAGGCAATGCGCTTCAGAATCTTAAAAAGATCACAATGCCTGCGAAGCTTAAAAGAAGAATATCGGAGAAGACTCAGCCTAGCAGAAACTCTCTGGATGATGTTTACTGGCGATTCAAGCAGAAACCGTTAGCTGACAGTTTAACGGCGACTATGATGTTTATGTCTCCATGGCGTGCTAAAATGCATTCATTTGTCTGGGAAGTAAAGTCTGGGAACTTCTCTACTCTATGGTAATACCTGGCAGCAGGTGCACTGCAGGCATACTCTGCGTCTACCAGTATCCGAATTTGTGAATGACCCCCAATCTAAGCCTGCATGAAACAAAGACCAAGTGTTCATTTATTCCCAACTCCACCCTCTGTAATTCCCAGAAAGATAGAACACACAATATGAAATTATTTGACAAAGAGGATACATTATCACTTTCTCCCGAAGTGCTCCACCGTCTTAGTAGTTCACTGACTCTTTTGTCATGCTTTGTTGGGGTTTACCTTAAAGCAGTTGTAAACCTCTGAAATAAAAAATAAATAAAGCATATCCTTCTATAGTGCGTGCTTGCCTCAATCTAAAGTACATAAATGTGAAGGGAGGGCCAAGGGGGGAGTTGGGGAAGGGGAGGCAATCCCGGGGGGGGGAATGGGGAGGAGTCTTAGGGGGGAGGTTTCCCTAAAAGGGAGGGGGGTGATGAGGAAAGGGGGTGAACGGGGGAGAGGATGGGGAAAGAGGGGAGAGAGGATGGGGAATGAGAGGGGGGAGAGGATGGGGAAAGAGGGGGGAGAGGATGGGGAAAGAGGGGGGAGGAGGATGGGAAAAGAGGGGGGAGAGGATGGGGAAAGAGGGGGGAGAGGATGGGGAACGGAGCGAGAGGATGGGGAAAGGAGCGAGAGGATGGGGAAAGGAGCGAGAGGATGGGGAAAGGAGGGAGGGAAGGGAAAATGGGAGATGATGGGGAAAGGGGGGGGGGAAAGGGGAGATGATGGGGAAAGGGGGGGGGGGAAAGGGGAGATGATGAAGAAAGGGGGGGAGGGAAAGGGGGGAGGGAAAGGGGAGATGATGGGGAAAGGGGGGAGAGGATAAGGATTCAAGACCAAAAGTGCCAGTAATAAAATAAAATCATAAACCAGTACCGGGCCATGAATAATAAGGGTAAAGGCCCTTCTCCCCAACTGGGGAAAGCACCAGAGGTCTAATCTTAGCTTCATTTGAAATGTATTTTTTTTCTTGAAGCGTAACACAAAGGGGAAGGGGTGGAATTTGAGATATGGTATCTTAATGTTGTTGTAACTTCTTAAATAAACCCAGTGAAGTGACTGGCCTCAGGTGAGAGATGAAACATATCCTCCTACATACATTGTACCTGTTTATCTGCAATTTGTTTTCTCTACATCCGTTCAGAGTACAGAACATATACAACTTGTCTGAGCTTTCAGAGAACAGGTGGTGGGGAGCTGAAATTACACACTTCAGAATTCAGTGAGGAGAGCTCTGAGGGCTGATTGGAGGGAAGGAACACACCCCTCTCCATATAACACACAGGGAGAGAGCTGAGGCTGCTAAATCACAGGCTGAGTGCTGGAGTTCCCTCCCCTGTCACCTTTTTAGCTCCTGGTGTCAGAAGTCACTCATGCAGATTGAAGGGGAGCGAAGCAGCAGAAAGAAACACTTAGTGCTCTAGATTGTCTCCCATTGTAATGTACAGCGCTGAGCAAACGGTTGGCGCTTTATAAATACTGTATAATAATAATATTAATAGATTGATAACATTACACATTTTAGAGGGATATGCTTTGTTCACTTTAAATTGGTTGTAAACCTCTGCCAAGAAATATGAACATAAGCTTTTCCTGTGCAGAAACAAAGTAAAAAGTTCACTTGTCTCTTCTACAGCAACAAATCCTTAGCATTACTTCTCTCCCCTGTAGCACAGTTTCTCTTTAAGGGTTAGATGCACAGTTTGGTATTTATGTTTTCCTGTGATATTAGTTTGTGAAGTATTTTTATGAAATGCAGTGTTTATATTTTAAATCATTATTAAACCCCAAACAAATGTAATATCTTGCAGCTTACCAATCATTACATGTGGTGGCTGCGTTACTTTTCTTTTTTAGGCTTTTGTCACCTGGTGATCTGGTCAGTAACATACCTCCTGTATTAGAGTGACCCCATCATGAACGAAGGAGCAACAGAGACACCTTGGGACAGCAGCATTGTCAGTCTGGAGGAAGGGGAATGTTAGATGGACTAGAAGATTTAAACACACTAAAAATTTGAAGCTGAACTCCAGGTAATACTTTATAAACTGACAGCACCAGTTTTGTTTCTTTTGGGATAAAGGTTTACTTAAATAAATAAAAGATGATCAATGTAAGCACCCCTGTCAATCTTAAATGGTTTGTCTCATCCCTGTTAACTGCTACATCTGCAGGACTGCATGTTCTTTTGGCCGGCTCACCAGGTAAAAATAAAAGACATGCATAAAAGTGGCCACCCGCCACCAAGTCTATAACTGGCTTATGAAGCAAGGACACATAAACAGGCATCACATAGTGAAAAAAAGGGGGAGAGAACAATGTTCTTGGACAACTTGCCAGCCAGCTTGCTAACAAACCGAATTAACCTGTCTAACAGTATGCGTTTATAACAGGGGTTAGTTAGCACACATTTGCAAATACATACGTAAGCCACAGAGACACGACACGGCACCCTGATCATCTGTGGTCCTAACTCTAAAATTTATGAGTCCCCATAGTAGAGGCACATGTAATTTAATGGATAGATCAAGGGCAGGTGGACCTGAGGGAGCCACCCCTCTTAAAGGCAAAGGAGTGCACTGGACCCCAGCATGTAGCACAATGGCAACCAGGGCCCTAGTGCACCCACGTACCAAAAAACTCAAACATGCATAAAAGTGGCACACCCGCCCAAGTCTATAACTGGCTTATGAAGCAAGGACACATAAAAACAGGCATCACATAGTGAAAAAAAAGGATCGTGTCGTGGCTCTGTGGCTTACGTATGTATTTGCAAATGTGTGCTAACTAAACCCCTGCTATAAACGCATACTGTTAGACAGGTTAATTCGGTTGTTAGCAAGCTGGCTGGAAAGTTGTCCAAGAACATTGTTCTCTCCCCCTTTTTTTCAAAAATAAAAGACAGCCTAAAAAAGAAAACTCATACAATCACCACATCTAAGAATTGGTAAGCTGCAACATAATAAATGTATGTTTTTTTCGGGTTTAATACCGCTTTAAGTGCACACTAATAACAGACTACAAACTGATCTGAAATGATCTAGCCTTAAAAGTGCAGTCATTCTTTTAAAGCGTAAAAAACCAGACTGTACTAATTTGTGGTCAATAGAGGGAGGTAGAGAGCCAAGGTGTTCGCCCATTTTTTCCAGCAGAATAAAGTGTAGGTATCAAACGTTTAGCTAAAGAACGTACATCATCACATTGTACACTCCTAACCTCTCTGTATATTTGTATTAAAGATCAGCATTAAAAGGTTGCCTGGAGAACCCTTTTAACTGAAAATATGTATTTAAAAACATTTTTAAAAATGTGCAATATCTTAGTGCCTGTTAAATGTCTACCATATAAAGCTGCTTTCTAACATACCTTGGGCCCCTAAATATTAACTTGTGGGTCACTTTTAGGGCCGGTTAACACCACAGAAATGCAATCCGGATGTGTTTTTGCATGGCTGTTTATGATGCCTTCTGGTGCTTTTTTCCTCTCCCTCTTCTTTCTTCATCTTTTCCCCTTTTTTTTCGCTCTATAGACATGTGTATTCCGGTGTGTTTTTGATGTATTTAGGTATGTTACGGTCATTTTTGATGCATTTTGCCTCGTTTCAGTACAGTTTTCTGCATAATAATAATGCTACATGTACTACTTTTTTCTGCATCCAAAACGCAGATAAAGTAGGTTATATGGTTGTCAATGTCATAGTTCACATCAGTGTTGGTAGGTCTAGTGCGTTTCGGTTGCAGAAAAAAAAAGTAGAACAGGCTGAATTTCTTCTGCACAGAACTGTACTGGAACGTGGTAAAATGCATCAAAAATGCACTGGACTGCACACGTCCCTATTTAAATTGAAGAAAAAGAGAGAGGAAAAAATGAACTGGAATGCGGAAAAACGCATCAAAAACGCATGCGGACTGTGTTTCTATAGTGTGAACTGGCCCTTAATGTTATTATTCGGATGCCATGGATCAGAAGTACACAATATTTTTATCCTCAGTTTTCATTAATAAGATAACGCATGCTACTTCATGGATAAAAAGGCCAAGCGGCAGGACGGTCTCACCTTGCTCTCCCCTTCAATAACGATGACTGGCACGGCAGTGGCAGGCCAGCGATGCTTGGCAGGGAGTGGCTTGTCACAGTTCCACAAGACTATGATCTGAAGAAAGAAAGAAAGAAAAAAACACAATCCAGCATCAGCAACCTTCCATCAGATGATTATTTCCTAAATGTGAAAGCTGAACTCCAAGCAAACAGCTAAATACACAAATGACATGACATTCATATAAGGAGGCTCTTTTTACCTGCCAAAGGATTTGTATTTCTGTCCATTCAGTACTGAGAATTACACAGCTCTGCCACATGGCACAGCCCTGCCTGAAAGGGCAAAAGACCACATTTTTCTCTGATACAGTTCAGTAACAGGTGCAGGTCTTGTCCCTCCCCCAGTTTGTAAGTGCACAGTGAAAGGAGAAGCAGCACATGGACAAACTCTGCCCTCTGGTCCTATTAGCATGCTCTTTGCGCTGCAGCCTAAATGACTGGCTCTTTGTGCTGCTTATCTGCCTCCCAGTCTGAGCTATGTTGTACAGGAACTGCAAGAGGCTGATGCCTTGCCAAATTCAGGTACTTAAACTGCACCGCATACTAGAACATTGTGGCAGACTTACCTTTAAAGGGAACCCTCCCATACTGTACTATCACTGCTGCTGACACTCCCTTCTTCCCCGTCTTCCTTTTAGGTTTGCCCTCTCCAACCGTTTGAATGGCCAGGCTGTGATGACATCACCCCTGTGCGTGCGCAAGGGAGTCAATATGATGGCACAGCACTCTGCATTTATGGCACTCTCATTGTGCCATAAATGCAGAGCATCACTGAGCACGTGCAGTGACACCGTTGGCTAAAGCCATTGTGAATTTCTTCTAACGGAATGAGCTTAGAGATATTCACCATACCCTACAGGTAAAACTTATTAACTTGTAGGTACAACATTTAACTAGGAGTCCAGTGTGGATGGCACCGGATGTACTCCTGATCACCCAACTATGTCATCGGTTGTTAGGATGCCCTAGACTGGCTCAAGGTTGCAGTGCTGCACAACAAAAACCTGTGGCTTTGTGTAGCCGAAAAAAAAAAAAAAGTAGAAGGGCAGGCTTGATCCACACACCAGTTAATTTGTTGACAATTTTTGGCAATTTGGGCCAATTTTTAGTCATTTTGTCATGGCACCACTAAAATACCCAGACGCATCCCCAGTTTAAAAAGGCTGCTCCAAATTACAGAGGAGCTGGAACTCTGCAGTCATGTGACCACATAGAAACACATTTAAAAAAAAGGAGAAAAGGTACTTACATTGCGATTTGCAATTTTTTATAAAATGTATGTAGGACCATAGGGAGAAAAGGGAGAGAACATTTAAAGGTTGGTTTTTTACTTAAATTGGTTGTAAAGGCTGACGTTTTGTTTTTTGTTTTTTTTAAACTTATCGCATTCTTTGTATTAAGGTAAAAAGCATTTTAAGTGCACCTTCCCCCAGCCCCCTAAATACTTACCTGAGCCTGTTCTCAATCCAGCTCAATCAAATCCAGTGATGAGGGAGTGGGGGTTGGGTCTGAGCTGCACTGTGTGTCAATGGACACACAGAGTGTGGCTTGGGATCGAGCCCACGCGTGTGCCACCGTAGGAAGCTGCTTCCTATGGTGGCACATGGAAAAAAGGATGAAGGTAGAGAGCCAGTGGGGGGGCTTCAAAAGAAGAAGAAGATAGGGACTTTGCTTCATTCAAAACCATTGCACAGATCAGGTAAGTATGACATGTTTGTTATTTATGAAACAAAAAAACATTTTTAAAAGCACTTTTCTTTTACATTAACTCTGTTATAAAAGCAGAGCGGGGACAAAACAATTCTGCTTCTTTAAAAAGTGATGAAAAAAAAAGAAAAGTAAATTAAAGTAACTTTTTGGGGAGCAAACATTCTTCTAACTCCCCGTTCATGGGAGCCTGTGGCACTACATGTACGAATGCCCGAGCCTAGCAGGTTAAATGTTACTGCTATAATTGCTGCATTGGGGGATAAGTGTGCAGAAGTCTGCTTTGGAAAGTCGTTGTGTAAGGGAAACTAGGCTGTAATTTCAGTAAATACACATTTTGAGTTGTAAAGTTTTGCTAAAGGTAATTTCCAGTGTGATCCAGCATTCATTGCATTTCACACAAATATTTGTTATATTTTCTTTAGCGGCTATCTGTATGTCAGGCAGGGCAATCCTCTACTCTTCATCGGAGATGAACAATTACAGAACAAGTCTTTTAGGGCACATTGTCCAGACAGCCTGAGCTGCCCATAACCTAAAGTCACAAGCACCATTTAGATGGGTAGCTTCACTATTGTATAAAACAATCTACATATAGAATTGCTAATCAAGCCATTGTAACTTTGGGTTAATAAAAATGTACATATTTTTGTATGTATAATGCGTATATTGAACTAAACATTTTTTTTCTTAGTTGGGTAGAGTGGTGAGAGGTTAGAACCGTGGGCAGATGTTTCTTGTAGTCTGTGTCCCCATAGGAGAGAACAACTCTCGCCATGTGTTCTAGTGACCACGGTTACTTGGACAGAAAGTACAGGGAAATCAAAAATTTTGAGTTGTCACCATAAGGACACTTGCCTTAGTGACAACTGTCTATGAGGGGATTTCCAAAAAGGAAAGACATACAGTGGCGCCAGTCTAAGTGTAGATTTCCATAAAACACATTTTAATAAAGGTAAACAACTCACAAGAGTGGAATGTAAACGCGCATGTAGACAGTAGATGACTTCCAGTGATGTGGGTCGTGGAGCTGTATGCCGCATGGTCCTCCTCGTCCTGGCCACGCTGGTGGGTTCCAGTGCTCCAGGGGTAGCAGAGAGACACGGGGGTGGCTGACAGCTGTGACGTCACCGGAAGAGTGGCAGCGGCGCACGTTTGGAGCATGCGCTCTCCTTCCTCAGGCCATGAAGCGGCCATATTGAGTGTGGTTTAAATGGACAGACGGACGGGCCTCCCCTTGTCTATCCACATTAAGAGGGGATTTACCCCTGCTTTGGAAAAATATCTTCTCACTTCCTGTTGTATCTACAGGACAGGAAATGTACGTAAATCTCCCTAATGGGCCACAAATGGCTAAAGAAAACTGAAAGGGGTTTATCCATTTCACATTCTATCCAAAGCAGAAGAAAAATTTTGGTTTTAGATATACTTTAAAATTTCACTCTCTCTTTGCTATGATTTGCTAAAAGTGGTGGAGTGTCACTTTGCAGGTATTCAGGTGGCAATGTTGTTCCCTCCTAAATACTTGCTTTTTCCCCCAATCCCAAGGGGGATCTTGTGTAGCAATACTGCTACGGTTTTGGCATGGTCCTATTGACTTCAATAGGTACATTTAGCAAACAAATTAAAATCTGTCACACATTGAAGCAAAGCACTGTGACCAGAGCACTGTGAATGGACATAGCCGGTCACAATGTTATTTTGTATTTGGGTGGGGGGATATGCAGACTAACTGCCTGTTTTTAAGACCCCTTTGCTGCCCATGTGAAGTAATATTTTTTTTCCATCTATAGCCTCTTGTGGCATGTGAGCGTAACTACCCAAATATCAGAATTTTGATGCATCAATCTATCAGCACCATCCTATTTACATAGCTGGGACACTGATAAAAAGACTGTGCATATAAGAAATGAAGTGTGGCTACAAGATTATGGGGTTGATTTACTTAAACTGGAGAGTGCATAATCTGGTGTAGCTGTAAATGGGAGCCAATCAGCTTCTAACTTCAGCTTGTTCAGTTAAGCTTTTACAATAAAACCTGGAAGCCGACTGGTTTCTATGCAGAGCCGCACCTGATTTTGCACTCTCCAGTTTTAGTAAATTAACCCCTATGTGTTATGTCAGGGGTCTAATAACATTTAAGGAAATGTCTGCCATATCAGAAATCCTAGGCTGGCACGGGATAAAGACCTGTTGAAGGCAATGGATACAGAACCACAGCTATATGAAGCAGCTTCTCCAAGAAAACATCATTACCTTTGACTTACATCGAGGATGTGGCCTAAAACGTCTACAGCACTCTGTGTTTGTTCACAAAACTAGCCAGGTTGCTGCTCTCCTGATATCAGGTTTCTTGTATTGTATATTGCTTTAGTTAAAAGCTCTGTTTTAGCCAGCATCCTAGAAGTGATTTAAGGACAAATGTTTTCTTCAAAGGCCTGTTTTAAATGAGGTTTTTCTTTTAATCTGTAGTCAAAACGTAACCAACGACCCTAGATGTCAGTGACAGTTGTAAGTGCAAGCACCGATGGTTAATACTATGGAGTGGGGTGAAGATAGTCCAACACTAGTCTGCTCCAGGGAACACTACTACGACTGGTCAAGTACTCTAAACCTTCTTGTCCAAGTCAATTTTTCCCCTGGAAATGGTCAATGTTGACATTTAATGATGCCAAAGACACGAGACCGTCACCAGAAGATGCCTAGATTTCACATTGATCACCTCATTTCTATAAAAGATTTAAATTGATGTAGGGGTCCAATGTAACCATTGTGTGACTATCAAGAAAAGTACAAAAGAAGATTTTTTTTGTATGTATTTTTATATGCATGTAACTACAGTCCATTTTACAGTATCACAGACTCCCGGTAATAAGACTTGACGGCATCTACTGAATATCCGTTATAAAATGGCTGGCACAATTATTCTGTAGTGGATGGATAACCTGGATAACCAGTGCCTCTATTAGTGCAGCAACAACACTAAATAACTATCACAACAACAGAAATGTCTAAAAAGATTTCCACAAATACATGTGCTCCCACAAAATGACTGCCACTGGTACGAACTGGTCACAAGTGCTATGTTAAAAACACATCCTCAGAGTTAAATGACATGGAAGAATATAAGCTGAAAAGAAATACATCTGTTAAACCAGGGGTGTCCAACCTGTGGCACAAGACAGCTATGAATGTGGCCCAACACAAGATCAGAAACCTACTTAAAAATGTTTTTTTTTTTTTTTTTTGTAAAAATGTGTTTACACTTGGCCGACGAAAAATTGACACTGTCCCTTTACTGGACTTTTATAAGTTTTATTTTCCCAAAGAAAAATCTCTCACTCTTCACAATTACGCCTTATTCATATCATCGGCATCACCTATACTGTATTTGTGAGCAACGATTTTCAAGGATGAAGTACACAAAGGGCAAAATTAGAAACAAAACATCTGATGAACAACTTGAGAATTGCTACTACATCCATTGAACCAGATATTGATGCGTTAGCTTATCAAAAACAGTGTCAAATATCGCACTAGTTTTTATGTTGCCTTCTTACTTTATAATAAAAAATACTGCAAAAAAAAAAATGATGTATTACTCAGATAGGTACATTATTTATACAGTGCCTTAAAAAAGTATTCATACCCCTTGAAATTTTCTACATTTTGTCATGTTACAACCAAAAAAGTAAATGTATTTTAGTGGGATTTGATGTGATAGACCAACACAAAGTGGCACATAATTGTGAAGTGGAAGGAAAATGATAAATGGTCTTCAACATTTATTGCAAATAAATATCTGAAAAGTGTGGCGTGCATTTGTATTCAGCCCCACCTCCGGAGTCAATACTTTGTAGAACCACCTTTCACTGCAATTACAGCTGCAAGTCTTTTTGGGGATGTCTCTACCAGCTTTGTACATCTAGAGAGTGAACTTTTTGCCCATTCTTCTTTGCAAAATCGCTCAAGCTCTGTCAGATGGATGGATGGAGAGCGTCTGTGAACAGCAATTGTCATATCTTGCCACAGATTCTCAATTGGATTTAGGTCTGGACTTTGACTGGGCCATTCTAACACATGAATATGCTTTGATCTAAACCATTCCATTGTAGCTCTGGCTGTATGTTTAGGGTCGTTGTCCTGCTGGAAGGTGACCCTACACCCCAGTCTCAAGTCTTTTGCAGACTCTTAACAGGTTTTAAGATTGCCCTGTATTTGGCTCCGTCCATTTTCCCATCAACTCTGGCCAGCTTCCCTGTCCCTTCTGAAGAAAAGCATCCCCACAACATGATGCTGCCATCATCATGTTTCATGGTGGGGATGGTGTGTTCAGGGTGATGTGCAGTGTTAGTTTTCCGACACACATAGCATTTTGCTTTTGAGCCAAAAAGTTCAATTTTGGTCTCATCTGACCAGAGCACCTTCTTCTCGCAAACTGCAAATGGGGGACTTCTTATGGCTTTCTTTCAACAATGGCTTTCTTCTTGCCACTCTTCCATAAAGGCCAGATTTGTGGAGTGCACAACTAATAGTTGTCCTGTGGACAGATTCTCCCACCGGGGGTGTGGATCTCTGCAGCTCCTCTATAGTTACCATAGGCCTCTTGGCTGCGTCTCTGATCAATGCTCTCCTTGCCCGACCTGTGAATTTAGGTGGATGGCCATGTCTTGGTAGGTTCGCAGTTGTGCCATGCTCTTTCCATTTTCGGATGATGGAAATACGTGAGATGTTCAAAGCTTGGATTATTTTTTTATAACCTAACACTGCTTTAAACTTCTCCACAACTTTATCCCTAACCTGTCTGGTGTATTCCTTGGCCTTCATGATGCTGTTTGTTTACTAATGTTCTCTAACAAACCTCTGAGGGCTTCACAGAACAGCTATATTTATACTGAGATTAAATAACACACAGATGCACTCTATTTACTAATTAGGTGACTTTTGAAGGTAATTGGTTCCACTAGATTTTATTTAGGTATATCAGAGTAAAGGGGGCTGAATACAAATGCACCCCACACTTTTCAGATATTTATATGTAAAAAATTTTGAATCCCAGTAATATTTTCCTTCCACTTCACAATTATGTGCTACTTTGTGTTGGTCTATCACATAAAATCCCAATAAAATACATTTACGTTTTTGGTTGTAACATGGCAAAATGTGGAAAATTTCAAGGGGTAGGAATACTTTTTCAAGGCACTGCATTAGTGACTGGTAACTTGGGATCTGTCTGACTTTTTCTGCTCATCAACTATCCTTACTGTTAGTGTAATTTATGTGTGGCCCAAGACAATTCCTCTTCTTCCAATGTGACCCAGAAAAGTCAAAAGGTTAAACACCCCTAGTTTAAACTTCTCATTATTTTGCTTGTATAAACAACATTAGAATCTAAGTTTTAATTGAGTACCTGATGACAGTACTGAGACTTGGCTACGGCGACCAGCAGCTTTAGGATTGGCTGAGACTGAGAAACCAACGGTGTCACAGCGTGGATAACTGCAGTAAACTTGGTAGGGGGTTTAATACCTAAATGAAAAGAACAAGATATTAACAATTGATAACACATTAAATAGCCCTGAAAAGATTCTACTGGCCACCCAATACTAAAGGCATGACAATAACTACAGTACATGGAACATCTGCAAAAACGTGGCCTAAAATGTAATTTACCTATTGATGACAATAGCAGTGTATTGCATAAAACAGCATGTATATCTACACCTTATAGTATATAGCAACACTGGGAACCTCAGCTAAAGGGTGTATGGTCCATCTAACCCCCTTGCTGTAAGCCCAAGATGTCATGAACACACCCCCGGGGGTGTCATTGCACTGGTTTGGACTCATGGTACTCCTGGGTGGAACAGAACTCAAATGGCCTACCCATCGCAGCAGCAGAGGAAGGACCCACATTCTCACTGGACTGGCCAGAAGACTGCAGGGTTTAAGGTAAGCCTAGTGGATTTTTTCTTTTTTTATTTAAAAAAAACAAAACCAGAAGAATGTCAAGGGGAAGGGATAAAAAAAAAGCTAAAGTTGGGCTTTATCTAAAGAAATATTTTTTTGAAAGGAAAAATAAAAAGAAGAAGAAACATGCATGGACAAGAGGTTTACAAAATCATTATACATTTCCTTTAAAGCGGTAGTAAACTCTAGTAAAAAAAAAAAATTTTCTCTGCAAGACAAAGGCATTGTATACTAGCACATTATGTGAAACTTTCCTTAAAACGAAGCCCTCCAGTGGTGCGCTGTCACCGCTGACAGGGCTTCCATCTTCACCTGGTCCTTCTTCAGGTTTGTGAGCTCCGGTGGCTTGAATGGCCAAGCCACGATGACATCACTCCCGCGCTTGCGCTCGGGAGTCACTTTTTTTAGCTCTCACAGCTCTGAAGGATCACCACAGACACAGGTAAATATCTCCTAAACGGTGCACGTTTAGGAGATATTTATAGTACCTACAGGTAAGCCTTATTATAGGCTTACCTGTAGGTACAAGTTAAAAAACAGACTTTACTACCACTTTAGGACAGTCCAGTGTTTTAACCCAGCATGAACGCCAGAGCTTCCACCATTACAGGGGTGGACAAATCTCAAGTGAAGGTAGCCAACCCTGCTAAACACTGCAGGTCTGGGTGAACTCCAACATTTTGATTCTCTTCTGACAGTGAAAGGCCAAGCTCCTTGGGTCCATGAAAAGAGCCTGCTGTCCTCCTACACTGGACTAATTGGTCCCTGAACGTCGAGTTCCTGTTTCCTCCATGTACTTTCCACACATTTAGCTACAATGTCAACAAGCAATTTCTGAAAAGTTGGCGTGACTTTGAAAAATCTATTTAAATTTATCTTTAAAAAAAAAAAGGATATGAATCAGCTGTGTAAGTAATAGCAATTGGGAACATTGCTGACCTATGCTAATTTGTCATCTTCGTCATTTGATTCCATTTCCTGAGTTATTGAAAGCTTTTAAACTTGTTTGATCTTGTATCAGCCTAAAAACTAACAAAAAAATTTCTAGGGCTGAATCTTAAAGTCCAGCTCTGACTAATGGACAAAACAAAGTAGCATAATTAGTCAGCTTTGGTGGCTTCATGCTTCTCTCATGATCAGTCATGCTGACATATGAATGTTGTTCTTTGCTACTGGAGTCGATCATATATTTCTCCTATGGTGATGCTATTCATTTACCTATGAACCTTTACTTTGTACATGAAGGACAAAGCAACAGGTTACTTTAATGCCAAAGCTTACATCTACCTCCTCTTGGCTGCCTCCATTTCCCAATTTGTTGCCCAGCAGCAAAGACAAACATCTGATATGGGGGATCAAATGGCTCATTTACCTTCCTCACAAGTGGCATAGCTGGTACATGCCAATTGGCCACTTACATACTGAGTGCTCTCATACGGAGAGAAGAGAAAGTCCTAAGCTCTGTGTAAGCTCCATGTAATAATTGGAGCTTATGCAGGGTGGCTTCTCTTCACCCTTGTGAGTGAATGGAGCGATAGGCGAGGCTAATGAAGATGTGCTGCTATGGGAGTCAGAGCTAAAGTGAACCTTTAGCCCTGGCCTGTATGTATAAATCATAGGTTCACTTTAATAGCAAGGCTGTATTGAGTTCCACTACAATATAATGGCATCAGGACTTTATAACACATTTCTCTTATACATCTTTAGTTTTAGCTAAAGAAGTATAGGTTTGTAAAAAAATAAACATTTCTACCCACCTCTAGGCTGTAGCTGTCCCACATTACATCGGCTTTAAGATGGAGAACTGAGTGATCACATAACCGTTGATCGCTCAATTATTGGTCTGCACAGAGTAGAGAGTGGTGACTGTCAGTCACCGCTCTCTGTTCTGATCCTCCAGCACAAAGTGGAGTGCTGAGCTGGAGAGGGGGAGGCACTGCTGGATCAAGCTCTCAGCTGCGCGCTGAGAGGCAAAGCCAGATGTCAATCAGGCAACTGGGTGGATCCCAATCATATTGTTGGGCTCCTTCCAGAGCCTGGGGGTTGGCTCTCCACATGGGTCACACGTGAGCAAAAGTAAGTACACTCCTGTGACCCACAAAAGAAGTATGACCAAAAAAGCTTTGGCCATACTTCTTTTAGGAGAACCATAATCTATGGCACACTGTAATGCAAATATTGACTTTTAGCTAGAAAGTCAGCACCTTGGGCTGCCTATAGAAACTTGTTATGGGTCAGTAAAGCCATTTGTCAAATTAACAGCCAAAGCAAAATTGCCCTGGGAGGGAGTGAGCTAAGCTAAAGTGATTAATCCTTACTTGCATAATAGCGTGTCCGAGGTATGGGAGCTACTAAGGGCACTACTGGCAAAGACATATGGTATGAAATTCTATTGCCACTATTCTCAGGTAGGTCACTATAGGTACTCTCTAAATTTCAATATATCTAACCTGTTCATGCTTTTAAACGGCTAATTTTCATAGCTTCTTTCTTGTTTCTTTATTCCCTTCTCATTCAGACACTTCCCTGCATGCATGGCTTTTAACTATGAGCGCTACAGTGCTGCCAATGACGGTTACAATCAGGTTACGGTGACGGCAACAGCCATTTTGTTCTGCTCTGCAGGGTCTCCATATGTCTACACATAGACTTCTTATTTTTGGGCAGCTCACATGGAGTTAAAAGTACCGCCACTTATTCTTTAACTTGCTCCTTGGAAGATGAAGAGATTCACTTAGCGACCCCGTCATCATCAGGTCGTAGAGGAAAAGGCACTCACCTAGATTAGAGTAATAATAAGGGAAATCTCCCAGATATGATGAGTACTGGGGCAGCACAAACAGCCCTCCAGGATGCTTGTTCCATATTAGACTGTTGCGTGATATGTGCTTGAAGATTCTGTCCTGAATGATCTGAAAGGCGAGAAAGAGAAAGACATAAAAGAATGGACGAGGCACTTAGTCCACACTATTCCCACTCCATCCTCCTCTTCAATCAGCCGCTAGCTAAAGATTGCAATCAAGGCGTCTCGTTGGTGAGAGCTCTACGTAGACCTTGTTTTTGCCCATTGAGTTTGTCAACAGAAGTGGATCTCTGGCAAAGCATTGAATTAAGAGAGAAAACATTATGGTGATGTTTGGACTTATGCAATGTACTTCATGTTTATACGGTGAGAAAGAGAGACACTATCTACTATACAGCAACACAGTGTCTCTGCTAAGGGCTAATATGTGAATGTTTTTGTTATTCAGAGATGGTTTAAACATTACAGTATGCAAACAGAAATGAAGCAAATGACAAACTCTTATATTTAACGGTTTACCTTAGGGATTAGAAGGCTGCTGAGTCACTAATGGAGGAGGGAGTAGTTTCAACTGAGCTTCCGCGTTCCGGCTGGGAGGGGGAGCTGAGCTGCTGAATTATTGGTGAGAGAAGGGAGCAGGGGGAGCTATGCTGCTGGGTCACTGTTGGGAGTGGCAACAGGATGAGCTGAGCTGCTGTGTCACTACTGGGGGGGAGCAGGATGAGCTGAGCTGCTGTGTCACTACTGGGGGGGGGGGGGAGCAGGATGAGCTGAGCTGCTGTGTCACTACTGGGGGGGAGGGAGCAGGATGAGCTGAGTCACTACTGGGGGGAGTATGAGTTGAACTGCTGTGTCACAACTGGGGGGGGGAGCAGGATAAGCTGAGCTGAACTGCTGTGTCACTACTGGGGAGGGGGGGGGAGCAGGATGAGTCACTTGCGGGGGGGGGGGGGGGCGGGGGGGACAGGATGAAGCTGAGCTGCTGTGTCACTACTCGGGGGGGGGGAGCAGGATGATCTGAGCTGCTGTGTCACTACTGGGGGGGGGGGGGGGCAGGATGAGCTGGGTGGTTGAGTCACTGCTGGGGAGTGAGCGATAAGCTGAGCTGCTAAGTCACTACCAGAAGAGGGGAACTGAACTGCCGAATCACTGCTTAGAGAGGGGAGCGAAACTGCTAAGTGACTGCTTGGAGGGGGAGAAAGAGGAGCTGAGCTGCTGAGTCATTGCTGGTTGAGGGAGTCCTGAGAGTGCTTGTGAACTTAAGGCAGATATGTACTTTAAACCTGATGCTTAAAGTGGTTGTAAAGGCTCAAGGTCTTTTTTTTTTTTTTACCTTCATGCATTCCATTGAAGGTAAAAAACCTTCTGTGTGCAGCGACCCCCACTGCACCTCCTCCCCCATCCTTACCTGAGCCCCTCTCCATCTAGTGATGTTTAAAATATCCTCTTCCTCCTCATTGGCCGAGACAGCATCAAAAGCTTGTTGTCTCCTGATAATCACAACCAGTAAACCAATATGTATAGAGCAGGGGGGTGGGAGGGCTTGGTGGGACGAGCTGCAGCTCTATATGTCTTATGCATGCATTGAGCAGCGGCTCAGAAGCGAACATGTAGCAGCTTTCTCTGGAGGCATTGCTGGAAGGGGAAGAGCCAGAGCGCAGGCGGTGGACCCAAAAAGAAGAGGATCAGGCTAGCGGTGTGCAAAACTACTACACAGAGCAGGTAAGTATGACAAGTTTGTTATTTTTTTTTTTTTTTTTTTTAAATGAAGCTTTAGTATCGCTTTAACTTCAGCTCAGTCCCCAAAACTAACCATAAACCAACTCTTAAACATATCCTAATTCTCACTCTAATTCTGCAGTCTAACATGCCATAGAATGCAATGGCTACATCTTGGGTGCAAAAAAAAATGCACCAAAAAGGTAAAGCAACAGATGTTACAGCATGCCTCCACAGGTCTGCTTTTCCTGCAAAGACTTTATTATGAAGATATAACTTTAAACCTCCAGATAATATAGAGTGGACTCCCCTTTGTACTCTACCTACCACTGACGCCTCACAAGACTTCATAAGAGACATCATGCAACCTTTTACAAAGGTCTATGCTGCAGCATCCTTGTTTTGAGCGGAGATGAAAGATCAACTGATAATGGATGAGCAGCAGGCCAGGAACAAGGCTCTCTTAACAATTTAGCATTCGCCAAATGCCAAACTAAACCAGTAGTATAGCATGGGCTGACCCAAACAATCAACGGGTGCTGACATAAAACAATTATAAAAATGCAACTCAGCAACCGTACCTAAATGCCCAAAAATAATAAAATATACAAAAAATAATCATAAATTCATCAGTTTGTTACAGCCCTACACATATAATACATTTGTGAATGTTATATTGTGAAATAAATAAACAAAAAACACACAGTAAAGCTGGGTGTACATGTACCGAAACGTGGTCAGTTGCCACTCAATTTCAGTACATGTGTACTGCTGTCTGTTCAATAGAAGCCAGGCTAACAACCAGCTTGTGTCCTATGGCACTGCTGAAAAAACCAGCTATTGATCAGTGCATGCGGGGGGGGACGGGACTGGAGGGAGTCCCTGCTGTTAGAATACAATAACATAGCGAGAGAGGACCCGCGTCCTCATCGCTTGTGTGGATGCGAGGATCTGTGAGGTTGAATGAAAATAAAATTATGCCTGTATACCCAGCTTAAGAATACAATCAACATTTGTAGAGGCATTTAAAGTGGTTGTAAATGCTCAAGGGTTTTTATCTACTTGCATTCTATGCATGAAGGTAAAAAAAACCTTCTGTGTGCATCAGCCCCCCCCCCCCCCCCCCCCCAATACTTACCTGAGACCCACCTTGATCTAGCGATGTGCACGAGAGCAGCAGCTCTTCGGGGTCTCATTGGCTGAAACAGCAGTGGGAGGCACTGGCTCCTGCCAATCACAGCCAGTGAGCCAATGAGAAGACACCAGGGGGCGGGGGCATAGCCACAATCTGTGTCAGAGTAGACAGAAAGAGCAGCAGCTCGGGAGCCCCTATAGCAAGCTGAATGGCTATGGAGGTACTCGAAAGGAACGCTGGCAGGTGACCCAAGAAGAGGAAAATCAGGGCTGCTCTGTGTAAAACCACTGCACATGCAGGTTTCTATTTTTTTTTTTTTAAAAATCAGCCTTTAATATCACTTTAAACCTATTTATCTTACATTACCTTCTAATCCAGCCTTTCTCAACCATAGGAACATGGGAAACCCCTGTAAAAACAAATTCATTGGGGGTCGGTTGGATGAACCAATCCATCTTACATTACTGGCTGCCCTTACAGTGATGGTTAGAATGCCACCTTTTATAGACACATAAAATGATCATTGGTGTCACTCTGCCAAGTGGTATTGGCCCTGAAACTATACAGGTATCATCCAAGGGGAATCCAATCAGCCACAGGTCAAGGAACCCCAAGCAGCCTCTGGAGGAAACCTTAGGGTTCCATGAAACCCTAGTTGAGAATGGCTGTTCTTATCTCTGAAGACATTGGGTAAGCTTGTTGCTTTGCCTTTAATATCCATTTTCAATAACTTCCTTTACTTGGTATTAAAACTTAACTCGAGCATCTCTCTCAACATTTTATCTTGAGTATAGGAAGGTAATAAAATCTCAGTGTTTGAAAAAACAATGCAGTGTGAAAGTATTCTTCATTTTAGAAGACAATTTTATTGACATCAAGAAAAATCACTGTTCTAGAAAAGGAATTAAATAATTATAATGTGTGCGCACATTCTCTCGAGTCACTAACCTGATAGAACTGGTTTCTCCGTCTCCAAAATCAGCGGGTGTGGGGGGTGTTAAAAAATCTATTGCAAAGTATTTAAAGCAGCTTTTGAAATATCTGTATGATATGCAAAAAGACACGCTTCTACTACACGGAGTGTGCAGTTTTAAATCATTTACAGTACATTAATACATCATTAAGTTGATAGAGAGCCTTAGCGAGCAGCGGGTCTGCATGCAGTACACATTCAGATAAGCTGCATTAATACAGAACTTTTCCTGATTTATTCCTTTAAGTAACAACATTCCAAACTTGAATTGTCTTGCTTTTATCAGAGTAGCCCTCATTTCTTTCCCAGCGCATTAATTATAGCAGTAACATTTTAACCTGCATGGCTGGGGCGTTCGTAACAAGCAGGGCCATGTATAAATACTGCACGGAAAACCAATTTGTACAAATAATTAGTTTGCTGGTATTCGGGTGCAGAGTTCACGACTTCGTGGTGGAATTAACATGGTACGACTTCTATGGTTGGCTGTCCCCGACCCCTGTATCGGACTCGATCACTGACTAACACATCAAAAGGGCAAAAGCTCATGCTGAAAAATTCAATTTTCATTGATTGGCTGGGTGAAAAGGTAAATGGCGAGAGTCTATGAGCCAACGAGGAGGAGTAGGTGGTGGGGGGGAGGGAGGGCCAGATTCTGGGTCCTACAAAGCACAGAACATTCCGCAAAACAGTTCAAGCCCAAAGGGTGACCTATGCACACGGCTTGCAGAATGACCTCGAAGTTCATCTTCTGTAATGGAGTGTGAATAATTTATTAACACTGTTTTAGCCCACAAAAACACACTGAGATTTGGAAAAACAAACCAGTTTCCAAGGCAGCTCTTGGAAAAGGCTTTGTGGATTCATAAAAACACCTGCGATTTTATATTATTATTATACTGAAGGAGAGGTGGACAATTATTTTCCCAACATGAGAAACTGGGACTTTTGTGGAGGGTCAAATCTCTGCTCAACAATAATTCTGGGCTTGGGAATGTCCGTTCGTACATAAACATATAGAATACCAAACACTCGATGCTAGGAATAAGTAGGTAGAATTGCTCATGAAGTAGGTCTCTTTCAGATGGGAGGCTGGGGAGTGGTAAAAACGGGTGGCTGACCTGCTTTTTGCAACCCACCTAAAGTGTAAAATAACAGCCAGATGGGGCTGTTTATTTGTTGCGGCTGCAAGGCTTTGCCTCAAGGCCTCGGCATGGCTCGGCATTGACTTGGGTTAAAGAGTTTGACAAGCAGCGCCACTAGTCAAGCTCACCCTTTGAGT